CTGTGGGTTATAAAGTTTCAATACTGCTTCAAGACAGGCCATCTAGCAATGACTGTGTGGTCAAAAATATGTTTGGTTTAGCAGTTAGGGGAATTTAGACTTAAATCCAGTTGGGTTTTAATTCAGCTGAATCACCAAAACTTGATGAAATGCCATAAGACTGTCTAAAAGAAAGCAGATCTTTCACAATGGAAGAGCTGACGTCACCCGCACAGATGCCAAACCATCAACAACTTTGCTTTTTTTTTTTTAAAGACAAAGTCGCAAAAATGGGGCAAAACAATTTTGTTTTTTCTCCTTTCAACACCAGTAAATCAGATTTTTGCTCTATGCAACTTTTAAATTACTTTATGCGTTTTATTTGTGCTTTCTTAGCCTTTACATTTCAGAGAAAATTATACTCTTTTTCAACATAGTTTGAGCTTTCTGGTTTTAATTTTCCCATTTTACTACCAAACTCTCGTAACTAACAGAAAACGTTAATGTTTCAGACCCAAACCTGGAAGACAGTAATCTTTCACACCAATTTCCTGCTTTTACATAATTGCAAACTCTCTAATAAACTACAAATCTACATTGAGACACAGTGACTAAGACATACATCCATCACTTTTGAAAATAACCAACAGGGTGATGAAGAAACAACCAGAAACACAAAAGTGATGACTTTTAGCAAGGAGGGAGAGGAGCAGCCACCTCTGAGGAGCCTGGGTCCAGCTCCATCTGCAAACCTCACCAGACTGGTTTCACGCAGGAAGGTCCAACCAGCAGGTGTGGTTGCCCACTCCTTCGCCCTGGGGCTCTGGCTCCAGGAGCAGCCAGACAACGCTAGGAGGGTTGGCTCTCCCTCAGCCTCCCCACTTCCAGCCGCACAGCCCTCCTCGCCCCCGCCTTGCGCTGCCTCTGGCATCCATCAGCCCCTTCAATGAGCAGTTTCAACCTACCTAACAGAGGAAAACCAGGCTAGCAAGTTGGGTCAGTCCATGGAGGTATCCAAGGAGTGCCAGAATGGATGCAAAATAAGCATCAGGTGCGTGTGTCTGTGAATGGGGAGGGGAGGAAGAAAAGCACATCCCCAGCAGAAACCTGATGGATCACATCATCACGTTTTATGAAACAGAAGCTTCAGGTTTTAATTTCAGACCCAACAGAATCAGTCTCACCTGTCCCCTGAAATTCCTTCTAGTCCTATCTTTTGTGCCAAAATGAGTGCTTGGCTACATATCCAAGATACATCCAAAGAAAAAAGAAAAAGGGTTATCAAAAGCTGAACCACTATCCTGATCCAGTTCATAGCCTAGCTCTGTGAGTGGTTTTGGTGACCCATGAGAGAGGTGTGAGGAGCTGGGGAAGGCAGGATTTCCTCTTTGGCAGCAGCAGTGACCTACAGTAGCTTAAACTCCATGGAACTGCTGCCACTGGCTGAGGTTCCTTGGTGGCCTGAGCTGATCTAGTTGCTGGTCCTGCGGCCAGTCCCTCCATCTGCCACCAATCACACACTCCCCCTGGGTTCCAGTCATACGGCTACAGGGCAAGTTGATTCAGCTGGCTGATGTGGTAGA